TACGTTTACCACTGAACAAAAATGGCGGATTCAACTCCCATTTTCTAAAACCTAAATCCCATTCAATCGAGAGTAAGAACATGAATACAGACATTACAGCATCGGCAAAGCCGGAGTATCCAGTTGTAGATCGGAATCCTCCCTTTACGAAGACGGTGGCTAATTTCAACACCCTCGATTACCTCCGCCTCACCACCATCACCGGCGTCTCCGTCGTCGTCGGGTACCTCTCCGGTACTTCTAACTACTCATTCCTCATTTCCGAGTCGTAATTAATTGGGGAGGAAAAAAATACTGGAGGTCACTCATCTTTGAGCGAAATTTACAAAACCTTGGGAACGTTTTGTCGATTCCTTTCCGTTTAGATCTGTTGGAAATTCGATTCTGGTTACTTTTTCTAAATTCACTAGTAATCAATTTTGTTCGATAACTTTCCTATATGATATGTTTTGGTATGTCAACTATTCTTGACGATAGTTTGCTGCATTGGCTATGCCTATGCAAACTCTTGCTTTTAACTCGAAATTCGTGCTATAGAAATGCAAATTTTAAATAGGATCCTGCTATATAAGCAGGGGAATTTCACAAGTTAAAAGGTGTTATCATCGAATAAGTGGATAAGAGAATAACAAGCTCCATTAAATTCCGTATTTTTTCTAGGTAAAAAAATATGTTTGCCAAGAAGAAAAGGAAGTCAATATTTGTGACCGAATGTTATTGATGATCAAACTGAAGCAAAATTGAAACTTTGGCGAACTTAAAACGTAACTTTTTGCACTTACTTCCGGCTCTTTCTACCCTCCTATTGATTGATTATTCGAAACGATGTGTTGTTGATTGTCTTTTTTCGTTTGAAATTGATACTAGGAATTAAGCCAGGGATAAAGGGGCCATCAATGGTGACAGGTGGTTTGATAGGGGTGATGGGAGGTTTCATGTACGCTTACCAGAATTCGGCTGGGAGGCTCATGGGATTTTTCCCCAATGAAGGCGAGGTTGCCAAGTACAAGAAACATGCTTTCTAGGGTTTATCCGATGCTTCCTCTTTACATAATTTCAATGAGAAGCTTAGAAAACTGTGGCAAGTTACTTTAATTTTATGCTATTTTGTACGGGCATTTGTAAGTTTTCATTCTACTCTCAATAATCAAATCGTGTTCTGAATTGCTTATTTTGAAAACGCCTGTTATTTCAATGTGTAATTGCTGAACTAGTTGGCCTATTGAAATCTTGTTTACTCTTAGATTAAATTGCTCTGTGTTAGAGCACCAATGGTTACTTTCTTGAATCTATTGCCTAAGGTTTGACTCTTGATCCTTGCAATGTTGGGAATTCTGTATCAATGACTGCTACGCCATTCCTGGTTCTGTGACATAGTTACTGCTCTCCGATGCCCGTTGTCTTTTATAGCAGTTTTATTGTAATAGTGGACAAAGATAGCTGCATTGTCATGATGAGGCATTCGTACTGGTCGAGGTCGTGATGTTCATATTTGTGGATGAAATGAATGACAAAATTGATTATCCACATAGTGAGTAACTGCCGAAGAATATCATGAGCTAGGTCCATATAATCTTGTGTGCGGGCCATTATCAGTGAGAAAATACCTCTTCTAGTTAAAAAGCAACTTGGAAGAGCTTAAAGATTGTTCTAGAGAATTGCTTTATGTTCTGCAACTGCTGAAAACATCTTGTATATGAGAAGTACTTCGGCCCTCTCAAGGCTTATGTTAGAATGACAGTGGATGTATTTGTTGGATGTTTTGAGATAGGTGATCAATGAGGATGAATGGACTAAAATTGTATTAGAGGAATAAATGTTTTCTTAGCTGCATTAGAGAGCACTAGAGTATTGTGCTAAATATTGACTTTCACTAACGAAACGACTGAAAAATAAAAGTTTGATTTCTATATAATATATATTTTCTGAAAAGTCGGTTTACAATTTTGTGGGCCCATAACTACTCTGGTTTTGAGGACATTGATTAGAAGGGTTTGTAGGCTGAGTCTGAAAGTTATGAGCTTCAACACTATTCTCTCTATTTCCATAAAGATTCAAGCCACCATTTACAATACCATAGCATGCTGGGTTTTGTTCATTAGTTATATTCTCGACTATGCGGTTATATCCAACCCCAAGATTCAGGCTGATCGAATTGTTATCCTCCGGCCTGGTTCTGGAGGTTACACTCGCCTGTGAGCGTGCAGAAAATTCATGGCTGCTGGTCTTGACAGTTGGAACATTGTGATTGTGTTTACCCTCATATGTAGTTATAACTGCTTTCGGGTCATGGGAAGCCCTTTCAACGTGTTTCCTGACTGGGCAACCGGCACTTGTGCACTTGTAATAACTCCTGCATGGTAGATTGAAGTATAACTGCATAGAAATACTTGATTTCTTGTGCTACAAATTATTGCAGGTTTGATTGCATGTACATGTAAGGAGTAAATTTAAGCAAAGCTAATCCTATCGAAACTTCAGGACAAATGAAAAGGGCCAATCTGTATGCTAGTATTAATTCCTGCAAGCTCAACTTTATTCTTAAAATTTCATTAGAAAAAAAGGCAAAAGAACAATTCTCAATGTTTACAAATTCTATGCTTAAAGCACAATTAAGTACATATATTATTGAAAATAATCATTTTCGTTAAATTTTTTGTTATATAAAATGTATCAGGATAACTAGTAGATTTCTTCCTTTTCTTTTGCCATGTTTCACTCAAGGGGAGATAAGAAAATAAAGGAAAAAACAGAAATGTAGTTGATGGTAAAAAGAAGGTAGGTAGTATATGTGAATCATAAAGAGAATTAAAGCCATAATTCAGCTATCGGCAACAGACCATCTTAAGGCGTTCCCAGTTTCGGGAGAGGTGATGCTTTCTCAATATGGAAAATTGCACGGGCATTTTACTTTCTTTCTTCCTAGTCCTAGTTTGATATTGCTGGGGATGGAATTGTTCTTGAAAAAAGATACAGCAATGGCGAGTGTGGCATATTGCCATATTGATGGTGTCTCAGCGATGTTATGGGAAAACTAAAGGCTCAAGGTCAGACATCCTAATAACCCCATTACACAGTTCAGAGTAAAATTGAAAGAGGATCATTACACTTCCTCCTTGGATTGAAAGCTCACGAGGATGCTCTGGATTATGCTTGTCTGAAACCAAATACATTGCAGATTTGCTGAAAAATAGAACTAAGATAGAAGGTCCCAATTCAACAAGGAAAACTCTCACGTTTTGAAGGAGAGGCAATGGACGATCCAAAGCTCTATCAAAGTATAATAAGGTAACCTAAAGTACCTAATAATATCTAGGTCAAATATTTCACATGCAGTTGGCAAGTAGAGTCAATTCCAGGAGAGCTGAGATAACTAATGGAGAGAGACCCATAACAAATGAAGGCTGATTTTACTTTATTTCTGTAGCTTATGACATGAAAACATTTCCTTTCCGTTTTCTACAACTATCCCCACGATATTGATTTGTAATTTTAGGAAAATGGTGGTGTCTCCGAAAATTTCTGCAAATACATGGTACAGTTGATACCAATGGTGGATAAGTGAATTGTCTTGAAATTTGGAGTCAACTAGGTCAGCAACTAAAACTGTGAACAGACCAAAACAGAAACGGTGAATTACCCATTGCCTAATCAAGCATCGGCATTTTATCTCAAAACTGGAGGGGGGAATATTGAATTAACGTGTCCAAAATGAGATTTTACTCAATATTCAATCTTCTACAATGTGATTTAACATAAATTATCGCACACCTGGGATTTGGATTGCCTCGGACTACTTTCTGCCCATACTTCCGCCATCGATACCCATCATCCAGTATATCAACCTCACTCACAGTTTGAACAACAACTCGTGGTTCACGAATGGGCTTAACAACTGTTGTAATATCAAGATCATCCTCTATCTTCCTGCTTAGATTTTTAAGCAATAGATATTATTTTTAAAATAAGGTCAATAGATTTAAGGCATTTGTAAAACTGTATTACCTTCGCTTTGAAAAGGGATCATCTTCATCGATGTCATCATTAGTGCCTTGAAATTGTGAACCTGCAACTTTTAGACCATCCTCATTTCCCTGCCGAGGAGACAGCGCTGGGGAGATATTTGGGTCCATGTTACCAGTCAGACTATTGGTGCTCAACTTGTCTTCGACAAAGTTCAAAATAATAATAATAACATTATGAGAGAACATTTTTGCACGTGGACATGAATAAAGCACGATAAGACTACCAAAAATTTGCACTATAACAAAGGAAAACTCATCATAAGAGCTAGTTTAGTTACCCTCTTGACCAATCCCTGATACATCCTTGTCCATTTTATCCTCTTGAATGGACATAAGGGCGCCAGGATTGTGTCTACGTGCAGGTTGAGGTTTCGGATGATCATGTGAACCCTTATAGACAATTTCTGTTATCTGTCCAATTGGAGAACGTTCAAAAATCTTTTTCACCTCACAGCTTGGATATGTACATTTATAATAGCTTCGAGGAAATTCACTTCCTTTAACAAGTTTCTGCCCATATTTTCTCCAGTTGTACCCATCATCTGATGTTCTCTCAGCTGTTATTGAGACACCATCCTTATTATCAGAAGGCAACACTTTGATGTCTGTAACGGAGTAACCTCCCTGGTTCAATTCATCAACAGTATTACAAGACGATGAATGTGTGCTCTTAAGTGCAGATAGTCCAAATACTTTTGAACTTGGCAGCTCACATGTAGCCATATGTGAAGGTGCTGGAGGCTGCAGAGAGCAATGATCTTGAACTCGACTGCAAGGTCCAGCCTGCGGCGGGTTCAAACTTGCAGGAATCTTTGACACAATAGAATGAAGAATATTAATACCCGAAATCAGCGCAAATATTGGTAAAACAAGGTTCAAATTTTGCATTTTTGCTATGATCATCAAGAATTAAGAATTGGGAGATGAAGCAAATAGTGCATGGTTAAAAGGGCTCTGACTTCAACGTCCTGAAAATCTATCCAAAAAGGTAAAAGTTGGATTTGAATTTATCTCGAAAAAACGAACAGATAAAATGAAGCTTTATCCAGCCTCTAGTAACTTGTTATAGTGAGATCACATTGGTCTTGTCTTGTGCATGGGTCTTCTTTAGGTTCAATTAACAAAACTCATCCACCTAACTCATCATTCCCATAATTAATTCTCAATTGGTGCTACTTCCAGTTTGTTGGGGTGTATTATTACTTCCTATCTTATCCATTCTAGCGTGACAATACAGTCATCTTAACATCCTCATTTGCGCTAAATTTATCTTATAAATATTATGCCCTTTATTGGCCAAACATTCAGCACCATAAATCCTTGTTATCATTTCACTATTTCATTCAAACCTATTTTGCTTTTAAACCTTTTTTTCCCTCAAGAAGATTTTTTGGAAAAGGAAAACTATTTCAATGACAAGGGCATTCTATCAACCAAATAGCAAGTTATAGGGTATTACCATTAGTCCTTTGGATGATAATCCTGATGCACAACTAGATCCAGTGTGAAAATTAAACTCGAAATTGCTGGGCATTCTTTCATCAATATTATTGCCACTAGAACATTTTTTTCCCAATGGCAGGACTGAAGTTTCACCATTTCCTTGCATCAAATGGGGCTTGAAAAAGGAACCTGTGGTGGGAGAAGGTTCTGCCTGCAAAATTGCAAAAGAAAGTTAACGACTTGGGGAAATATTTCTCCCAGCCAAAGGTAAAAAGAAAAAATTTGGAATTAACTTTTTATTCTACTTCAAATAGGCTCACTCTTTTTTCCTTTAATGTTTGTAAGAGAATTTTTACCCTCTCTGTGTATAATGGTTTACCAACAAATGATATGGCAAGATTTAATTGGATCAAAATCACGTCAATCAAATAACTTCCTCACTTACATTTTGACATCTCATCATTATATAAAACATTATGTAAATGATTATGTACAAAAAGCACTTTCCATCAAATTTATACCATAAAACCTCAAAGGTCATTAATTTTTCAAGTTCC